ATGAGCGCGAGGGAGACGGAGCGATGCTCGGAATCAACCTGCAGGCAGGGCTTGCTCCGTGGGCCGCGTAATGGCAGGTGGGGCGCGTTGCGCGCGTTGCTAGGCAACCGGGCAGCCACAACAAAGCGGCGGCACGGCAGCACGGCAGGCAGACCGCCCAGACTGCTACTGTACTGCTGCACTCGCCTCAAGGCCCGGCCGCCGCGGCCACGCCACGCCGACGGCCATGCCGCACCGCGACCTTCACCGCGTAATGAACGGCCGGTGACGTCACACACACACACACACACACACACACACACACACACCCTACACACACGCACACACACGACAGGTGAATCCGTCACCTTAATTGAAAGAAACACCGCACCGGGAGACGAACCGCCAACAGGACGGTCGTCTCGTCCGCGTGACGTGACTGGCGGTAGTTCGGCCATGATTGGTCCTTTTCGCCTCGTCACGAGGAGCCGCCCTATCCCTGCCTGCGTGACCCGCGGTGGCCCGCGGTGGCCCCCACCGGGACGACGCTCTGCGAACGGCGCAGCGAACGGCAGTGGAATGAAAGCGGGAAAGAGGAAAGGAGGCATTAAAAAGAATTAGCGTAATTTGCTACCGCGAGCGGTGCCAGCAGCCCAGCAGGGGCAGCGAGCCGAACGGAGCGCCGTGTGCGCAGGCCGGTCCGCCGCACGACGGCGTCGAATGGTTTGCCTACCCTGCCGGCGCGCGGTGCCCGCCGCAGCGCGTCGGATGGGCTGCCTACCGCGCGGGCGGCCGGGCCGGGACACCCTCTCCCAGGCCGCTCCAAGGCAGTGTGCAGTGGCGCTGCCTGCCTAGCGGCCTTCGCGGCCTGTCCTGTCGCCGCGTCTCTGATCCCCTGCGATCCTCAGCGATCCTCGGCTTAGGCTCAGGTTTATTTCCACAGAGTGACGCAACGCCTCCGCGCTTCAGCAGCCCCGGCCGTCAAACTGCGGGCGAATCGGGACGGATTGCCTGGCAGGATGTTCCCGTCGACGGGGTCCACTGCACCGCGAGCCGCGCACCGCGCCCAAAAGGAGCAGCGCGCGGGGCGGGGCGCGTCCAAGGACGGCACGACGCGCCTCGCGGTCCCCAAACGCGCAAACCGCGACCACAGCGGCGGTCTTCCTCGCCGACCCGACGGCGTCCTTGGCGTGCGCGGGGCTTAAGCCACTGGGCGACCTACTGACTGTGGCGGGGCGGGGCGGGGCGGGCGGGGCGGGGCGACTGGACACGGGCCGCGAGGAGGATGACATCACGCGCTGTTTTCCGCGTGCTGGCCGACGGGGTCCTGGCTTCTGGCTCTGGCTCACTCCGAAAGGGCAAGTGGCGCCACCTCGCGGCCGCGGTGCCAAGCAGCGACAAGCCTCCGGGCGGCGACACTCACGCGCGTGCCGCTGCACTGTCAAACAGTCCTCGGCGGCGCCCGGCTTCCTCGGCGCCGTCACCAGGAACCCCAACCCCACCGCGTTCCTGAGGTCGGGGCGTCGCCAGGGCGTCCGCTCCTGACTCTGACTCATCACCACCTCCCGGTGACCCGCCGCTACACTGCGCGTGCGCTCGGCGGCGGAGTGACGTCACTGCTTCGGCGGTGTCAAGCAGCCCGAGCAGCACACAGGCAGTGTCGTCCCTGCAGCGCATCCCGGCCGGCTCGCCGTCACCGAGGCCCTGCTGCAGCATGCTGGTCGTGACCACGCCTAATGAGGTGACTAATGGCACAAGAGGCGACGGCCGGCCGAGCACCAACAAGCACTACATGGCCCCGCGGGGCACTGGGCCGCGGCGTGGCGGCCGCGGGCTGCGCATTCCTGCCCAGGATCCAGAGAGGGCGGGGCGGGGCGGGGCGGGGCGGGGCGGGGCGGAAGTCCAGCCGGTGGCGTTATGCAGCCCATCGTCAACCCGCGGCCGGGGCGGCGCTGGCGACACACTGCCACTGCGGCGGCCCGGTAAAGAGGGGAAATCAGCGGGCTGCTGCAGCCATTCGTGCCGATGCTCGTGCTCCGCGCTGCGCGCTCCGCCTTCTGCCGGCGCTGCACTGCAAATTTGCAACCCGATCGCGTCGCCGTAAAGCAGTGCCGGCGTTATTGCCTCGAGGCGTAGCGCAATATCGCACTCGTCCGCGTTCGTTACGTGCTGCTTGGTGCTGCTGTGGGACCCGCCGCCGCCGCTTCCTGCCGGCCGTCGTCAACATCGGAGCACGCCTCGCCTTTCGCGGTGCGGTGCGGGTGGTCTGGTTTGGCGGTCCGGCCGCCAGGGTCACCGCGGCCGTCAAAACGGCGACACGGAACGCTTTACTTTTTCGAGTGAAACAAAGACGGTCGGGTCGAGGTGCCAAAACTTTGCCGCGTAGGCGGACTGACGGTGACGCTGCCTTGCTGCCTGCCTGGCTGCCGCCCTGCAGAGCCCATCCCATGGCGTGTTTCTGATTCACAGCCGGGGCGAGACGCGAGACGCGAGAACCCCCGCAACTCGGGCTCCTCCCTGACTCCCCGTGCGGCTGGCTGGGCTGGCGTGGGCGGCGCGGTGCCGATGGCGGCCTCTGACACTGACCAGCCTGGGCAGCACGCGCAGATGTTCGCTCCATCTTGTTTGATCCCGGCCTGCGCGGCCTGCCGCTGCGGCCCCACTGCCCGCCACCAGCGCGGCCTTCCCGCTGCAATTAAAACCCCATCCGGGGCGCCGGTATGGACAATGAGGACGTGCAGGGTGTCGCCGCGACGCGCCGCGCGCCAGGCCCCCGTCGAGGCCCCCGTCGAGGCCCCCGTCGTCCGAAGCAACTAATGATGTCACGCCGAGCAGTAAACCCGACGCACGCCCCCCGCCTCATTTTATATCAGCGGGCTGATTCCGAACAACAGAGCTGCGTCGCTCTGTCTCTCTCCCACCCTAGCGGGAGGCCCCAAGAGTGCGAGAGAGACAGAGCGACGAACCTGCTGGCAGCCTGTCGGGATATCGCGTCGTAAACTGGAACGTATCGCAGGACTGGCACTACAGACGTCCCTCTGATTGCATCCTCCAGTCTCGGACACTTCGGCACTTCGGGGAGGAGCGCAGCGCAGCGCCGCCGCCGTCTGGCCCGGTGACAGACCGGAGGACGGGCATCACTCACGGACGGCGCCGGCCGGGTGGGCCTCACCCTGCCTCGCCCTGCCACGCCCTGCCTCGCCAAGGACCCAAGGACCCCTTCCCCTTTCCCCGGCCGTTCGAAACGGATGCTACTGTCCATGCAAATGCGAGAAGGAATGCCGGTACCCCTAACGGCGGGGACCTGGGGACCGATTCACGGCACCGGACGCCGCCGCCGCGCCCAGCGCCACGCCCCGCCACGCCACGCCCCGCCACGCCACGCCCCAGCGCGTAAAAATTCAAGACCGTCGCGACAGTCGTTGACCCCCCCGAGCGTGTGCATTTCGCTGCTTTCTCGCCGCCCTCTCCAGCATGGCGGGGCACTTGGCCGCCTTCTCCGGCGACAAGTGCATGGCGGGGCGCTGCTTCTTCATCGGGAACGTCGCCGGTAAAAGGGGCGGTAAAGCTGTCATGAGGTGCTGCGGCGCTGCCCCCTTCCTGGCCGTTCCTGGTCGCTCCCGGTGCCTTCCTGGTCACTCCTGGTAGTTCCTCGTCCCTTCCTGGTCGTTCCCGGTTCCGGCTCGAGGAGCGCGTCGTCGCCACGTCGCCGTGCGTCGCCGTGAGCCTCACGAAGAGGCGTGGCTACCTCGTGTACCTCGTGGGCCACGGGCATGGGGGCACCTTTAGTGTCCGGCAGCGTAGCGAAGTGTAGTCAGTCGTGAGCGGCAGGCGGAGCATTACGGCGCATTGTAGGAGGAGACATGCACACACACACACACACACACACACACACACACACACACACACACACACACACGACAACGACACGTGGCCCGCACGACAACGCGCACGCCCCTCCAGCCTACACACGCGCTAGTCAGCGCTCATCGCATCGAACGTCATCGACCCGACGATGCACTGATCAAGGCACTGATGATGCACCCTCATCTGGGCGCGATGAAAAAGTCGTCCCCCGCCTGAACTGCACCGAATAATTGGAAATCATGGACAAGCTGTGCGATGCATGCAGCGGTGCAGTGAGGGGCCGTGACCGCGGGGTCGACTTACGTCCATACACTTACTCACACACACTCACACACAGCCACGGCGCATGCACATCGCATGGCTCACTGAGCACACTGTCATTGCGATGGCTCCGTCATTATCATGATGAACCGGCCGAGCCGAGCCGAGCCGACCCGGGCCGAGCCGGAGGCACCGGATGGGCGCATGGCGGCATGGCGGCACACAGGGAGTGGCCGAGCCCACAGCGCCCCGGGGCGGCCGTGCGGCCAAGCTGGCGAAGCGCAGCGACAGACACAGACAGCCCCGAGACCGCTAGGCGCGCCGAGCCGCGGGCCGTATGCAAAGATGCGACGCGCTACCTGAAGTCCGCACGTCTCTCTCGAACCCCGACGGAACGCCCCGCGAGGACGTCGGCGACGAAACGACTCTCCGGAATCAGCCTTTGCGCTGTGTGGTCGTGGCGGAGGGGGCTCGCGCCTTGTGTGCCGTGAGCGGCCCGCCCGCTTTCCGCGAGGATCAGCCTAGCCGGCCCGCCCGGTGACGTAATGATGACACATGGAGATAAGCCTCCACGGGGAGGTCTCCGTCTTGGCCGGAGAGCCCTACGCCCCGCCGCGGCCCGCGACGACGCCGCGACGCCGCGACGCTGCGCCACGCCCCTCGAGCCGCACCGTCGTGCAGCACTTGCGTCGGAAGTGCAGTGATAGAGGGTTTCCGGTGTCGCGGCTCGCAGGCCGCCGCGGCAATGGCTTTCCGGGACAAGCCTGGAGCCTAGGACCTGGAACCTGGATAACCTGGAAAACCTGGAACCTGGAGAACCTGGAACCTAGAGAACCTGGAACGTGGGGAACCTGGGACCTGGAGAACCTGGAACGAAAGCCCGCGCTGCTTACCTGACGTGTCCTCACTGTCACGCTGCTCCCTACTCTCTTTCTCCTGCTTCTTCTTGTCCTTCTTGTCCTGCTTCTGCCTCTTGGCGAAGGCCCCCATGTGCTCGGGGCCGAAGCCGCGCGGCAGCGACAAGGACGTGGAGGACGGACCGGGGCGGCACTCACCTGGAACACAAGGGGAGCGAGGGCGAGGGTTACTTGGAGTGCACTACACTGCATACACGGTGCACCTTGTGGCGGCATGAGGGCGCGCCCCCGGCACCTCGGGCGCCTGGAGCACCTCAAGCAGTGCCTTTTCTTGACCTCGCGCGCGTCAAGCGGCACGTCACACCGCCGCGCTGAAACGCTTCATTACCGGCCCGGATCACAAAGGACGGCAAGGACGACGGCGACGTGCGAGTCGGTGACGAGCCGGGCCGAACCGCCGATCTGGATCGGGGGGCCGCGCCCGCGGACGCCAAACGCGCCGACGGGGAGGTGTGGACCGCTAATTACAACCACACCCGCGACGCGCGCCGCCCGCCACGCCCCACCCCGCCCGGGCCTGAATGGGCCGTAATTGTCTTGTGATTGGGGCTGCTGGGTGGCGGGGTGGGGTGGGGCGGGGCGGGGTGGGGTGGGGTGGGGTGTCCAAAGGACACGCCAAGGAAAGGTCAGGCGCCCCGCGCGCCAACCCGACGCCGCGCGACGCCCGAAATATCACTCACACACCCGCAGACCGCGCGACGCGCGAGCCGCGGCAGGTCATCTTTCCTATGGTTCCAAACAACACGCGCACGCTCACACCCGGGCAGCAAAGCAGGCAGAGAGCAAAAACAGAGAAAGTGTCGAGAGAGAGGGAAGCGAAAATTGTGGAGGCCGCCGCTGCAGAGTGACTCTCTGTCTCTGTCGCACCCATGGGGTGAACGGCGGGCCCGCTGGGGTGCGAGAGAGACAGAGGCGCGCGCCGCCAATGTAAATAGCAGCGCGGCTGATGAGGGGACTAATACGCAACGGCCGGCCCGCCGCGGCGGACTGCCGCAGCGAACTGCCGCAGCCAACGGCCGCAACGCGAACGACGAGAACGTCGAGAACGAGGCGCTGACACGAGAACGAGAGCTGCGGCTGTGGCTGCGGGTGGTCCTGCAAGTCCTGCCGAGCCATTCAGAAGATCGGTTCGTCGCTCTGTCTCTCTCGCACCCTTACGGACAGCCCCGTGAGTGCGACAGAGACGGAGCGAGACTCTTCCGAATCGCTCGGCTGCACCGCCGCGACGCCGAGACTAACGAACGCCGCCTCCGAGATCGACGAGCAAGCCATCATGCCGATGCGAAATCAGACTACTAGTTCGGCGGCCGCCCACACCGTCGGACAGGCAGACAGACAGACGGACACTTCGCGAGTGCCCCAGAGATGGCACAGCGCGCGCTGTTTGCGTTGCCCATGCATAATTCATTCCGCGACCATTTTCTGATGAATGTTGCTCATTATGACACAACGATAATAATGTTAGTCGCCGCCCGATGGCCCGATGCGGACGGAAATTACAGCCCGCGGCTCGCAGGCCGCCCGCTCCGTTTCTCGGTTTCGCGCGGTTTCTCGCGGTTTCGCGCATAATTCGAACAACGGGAAGGCGGGTCGGACCAGTGCCGTAGAACCTCTTCAATAATGGATGCGGGGATTTTGCCGCGCGGCGCCCCACTGTGAAAACGGTGCGGGAGGAGCCCTCCCTCCACGCACGGTGTGGAGTCCTCGCGCGTGGAATCGTGGAAACGCCACGCGTCGTCCTACGACTTCGTCTTGGCGCACCTGTAGGTTGATTCCGAGAGTCATTTCCGTCGCTCTGTCTCTCTCGCACTCATGGGGCGCCCGTATGGGTGCGAGGGAGACAGCGCGACGAAAACGACTCTCGGAATCAGTCTGCTGCTGGGCGTGCTGGGCCTACAAATACGGCGACTCAATGGCGGCGTAGTAATGCCACGGCGGCGTGCGCGCGGTGCGCGGGGCGGGCCATTCACGGTGCTCGTTCAACCCATTCACTCATTCATTCGTGCATTCATTCATTCATTGAACCAGTCACTGGGCGCCGCGACCGGCCGGCCGCTCTGATTGGACGTGGGCCGTCGCGGTGGCCGCGCGCCCGCGCTGGACAAGGTCTCCTTGACCACTCCATTAGCGCGTTAATATTTTGGCACTCCTTGACGGCGGCGGCGGCGGCGCGGGCGCGGCGTCACCCGGCGAGTCAACACCACGCCGACGACGCGGCCCTCGGCCTGCCGGCTGGCCCTTCCTCCACGCGACGGCCGTATCCAAGTTATCGGGGCGCTCGCTTCCCGGACGTTCCCGGACGGCGTTGTTTAGCTGTGTGGCCACGCGGGCGGCCGGGCGCGCTGTCTCTCTCGCACCCCAATGGGACGCTGACTTGCCCCGCGAGTGCGAGCGGGACAGAGCGACGGCGGAATCGCTCTGCCAGCGTCACGCACATGCTAAGTGTCTTTACTTAGTCGCGGGCCGGCCGGCCGCTGCAGTGTGCCTGCAGTGCACCGTTGTCGTTTGGCATGGCGATGCATGGCGATGGCGACTAGCGCATTGGCACATTTGCATGGCGAAGGCTCCCATATGGGCGCAGGCCTGGCGCAGGTATCGGGGCACGACCACTCTGGCGACACACTGCGAAATGATCACCGCTTTATTTTCGGTCACACACACACACACACACATGCACGCGGTGGCTGGCAGGCCTGGTTTCTCCCACTGCCGCAGCACTGCCGCCGCGACGCCCCCCGGAATTCCAATCCCAGATGGAATTACATCAGACCGCTGCTGTGTGTGCGTGTGTGTGTGTGTGTGCATTTGTGTGTGTCTGTGTGCATTTGTGTGTGTGTGTGTGTGTGTGTGCGCGCGCGCGCGTGCGTGCCCTGGCAATGGCGATGCCGCCAGCGGATCGAAGCCACGCGGCGCCACGCCGCCAAACCGCCACGGGCCGCGGCAGCACTTGGCGACACGCGCACACACACACACACACACACACACACCACTGGAGGCGCTGCAGCGAGACACGTGGACGCGGAGACACTCACACACACGTGGGCACACCCACCGGAACGAGAACAAGACGCGAAGCGCCTGGATGCGCGCCGACATGAGCACGGCGGCGCCCATCTCGTGCGGGTGCGTTGTTAATGTTTGTTCGCGTGTGCGTGTGTGTGAGTGGGTTTGAGTGAGTGTGAGTGCGCAGCCCATATCGCCCTCGCCGCCATGCGCCGAAGCTCATCACCCTTAGTGTCCTGCCTTGTCCTCCTGCCGCCTCGGGCCGCGCCGCCCCGCGCCGCCCCGACCCGGACCCGTATTGTCGCCGCGCGATTACAAGTTGAGTATCTCCGCCACCCACCTGCCGACGGCACGAGACGACCACGACTTCACCGCGCAACATGGAGGACAAAAAAAACGGAAAACAAAACCCAGAGAATGAAACAGGATCCCGCGAACAGATTGCCTAGCTCCGCGTAGCTCTGGGTTGCAAAGAAGCGAGCAAAAACGCGGCAAAGAAACCACCGCCAACAGCGGCATCGCGAGTTGCCAAACTCGGCGCAGCGGCGAAGTGAAGGGGTTCGCCATGTACTACTCGGCGGCGTGCAGTGCGGGGGCGGAGCCTGACCGATCAGCCGTCAAAAGGCTTCTTAGCATAATGCGTCTCGTGATGAGACACGCACGCACTAACACACACACAGTCGCGCAGACACACAGACGGACACAGAGAGTCATCCATCTCCCTCCCACGGGCGGCAGGACGCGCTGCGCGCTGCAGCAGGGCGGGCAGGTTAGGGCAGGGCAGGGCGGGGCCGCCAGGCTGCCGCAGAATGCACAGGATGCTGGGTAAACGGACGATCGGCGGAAATTGTCGCCGCCAGTGAGTACACTGCCGCAAAACGTGGCTCTGCGGAGACGGCGCACAGTGGGCCGGAAAACCGGTGGAGGCGGCCAAAATTCAAGACGCGTTTTGAGCTCCAGAGTCGCTAAACAGGACTCGAACCGGACGTGTGACCCCGCCAATAGATTGCTCTCCGTACAAGGAATCCATTGGTGGGGTCACACGCTGGGTTTTAATTGACAACTACTTACTCCTCCTGGAGAAGAACCCCCCGACGCCGCTGGGGACGTGCGAGGTGCTCATGGACTGCTGCAGCGGCAGCATCTTGCCGCCCTCCTTGGCGTCCTTGGGCGCCACCATGCACGACGTGGACATGGAGGGCTGCAGGGACACTGCCTTCTGGCGTCGCATCATGGAGTTCCAGATGCGCCGGTTGCTCGACATGGTGGCGGTCTGGGTGGCGGTCGACGGCGAGGTGCAACGGGGCGCGGATGACGCTTCAGCGGCGACGCTTTTCCGGCGCGGTGACTTCCTCCATAACTCAGCCCGCTTTTCCCGTCGCCGTCACCGTCGGCGTCTCGGTGACACCCATCACTTCCCACGCCCACCTCGCGCTTCCTATTGTTCTGGCTCCCTCTTTCTCCCCTCCTCCTCCTCCTCGTCGTCGTCGTCGTTGTAGTCGACCAGCTTTCACGCCGTCGCGACGTGCATCGGTCACAGTCGTCGCCCTGCGAAAAGGAGCGCTTAATTTTTCATACCGCCCTTCCTTTTCCCCGTACGGTGCCCCTCCCCGCTCCCTCCCCGCTTGGGCGTGATCCTCGGGTATTGTCGCCAGCTTGTGCGGGCTTGGGTGGGTCACCGCGGCCGGTGCTAAGTAGCAGGAGCAGCAGGCTGGGCGGGGCCGCGCTGGACGACGCCGAGAAGCACACGCGGGTGGACGCACACGAACGCGCCGAGCAACGCCCCACTTCGGCCGACTCGCTCCACGGACTCGATTCATCGCCCGACTTATCGCATTGAACGCGGAGGGCAGGCTGGGTCACAGATATCCGCGCCCCGAGAGACAGCCAGCCAGCCAGCCAGCCAGCCAGCCTCAGCACCCACAGCCGCCAACCCGAGCAGAACGCGCGCCCGGCAGCACCAAGCAGGCCGTGGCGCGGATGGCCGTCCCGCGTCTCGTCTCCGCACGCGGCCGCGGCCGTCGAGGGGCTATTTTAGCACCTCGCGCGGTGCCGCGGTAGCTTCGCGCTTTGCGGCCACACCGCAACACCAAACACACGCACACACGCTCGCAGCTTTGCCGCGTGACAGCCGGAACGCCAAGCGCCGCGCCTTGGCAGGCACGGGCCGACACAACAAGTGTGTGTGTGTGTGTGTGTGTGTGTGTGTGTGTGTGTGTGTGTGTGTGTGTGTGCGTGCGCGCGCTTTCGAAATCATTGCCGGTGACGTGTGCAGTGCGGCGAGGTCCGCGTGTCCGGGCGTTCCCGGCCGCCTGCGAGCGCGACCCTCCCGCGCGACGCGCCTGCGTGGCGGGCTGGCCTAACCATTACCATTACCAGTACCATTAAGGGCCGTCAGTCCCCTTAAGCACACACAGCTGCTGCTGCCGCGCCCGCTTTGCTTGTCCAGCGCCGCCTCGCACTGAATGGCCGGCTCAACAGGTGGCGACCCCCCTCCCCTCCCTCTCACGCATTGTCCGGGGCGTATGACGGGCGTCTCTCCGCCCCTCTCGCCAATTATACATTGTAAAGCTGATAGCCGTGGTTGCAGCGCGGCGCAGCGCGGCGCCGAGACGGAGGGTACGGCCGGTACCGAGTGCACCGGGCGAGCGGCCGTAAAAGACAAAAGTGCGCCGCTTCGCGTCGATCCCGATCCGCCGTCGGCGTGGCCGCGTCGCCGCGTCGCCGTCCTGACGGTGCACCCCGTGACAGTGCACGCGGCACGCGGTGTCGGTTTCCCAATCGGAGAGACAATGGCCCGTCTGCCTTCATATGCGCGTCGACGTTTGCGAAAGCCCACCGAGCCAATACGGCGGTAGAGCCAGCCCGGCCACTAACTAGGCGGACCTTTGGCGAACAATGCGACCTCCTTGGCGGCCAGCACGAAGGCGGCGGCGCCGCGGTGTTCCGAGCCTGCCGCGCGGCCGCGCCACGGCCGTTTTCGCGAGTGATGCTACTGTACACTGTGAGCCGCGAGACCGAACCGAAGGTGTTTCCCGATTGGCGATGACGCCATAAGCTGCTGCACTTGTCCGGTTTGTTTGTTATGCTGCCGCGATGCTGCCGCCCTTGAGGCGGCGCGCGAGGGAGGCCCGCCGCGACCGCCAGCGCCAAGTCCAGCGCGCCCTCCTCGGCGTGCCTCGGCGTGCCCGTGGAGGCCGTCCTGGCCGCCCCGCTGCCCCGCGAGGCCGAGGGCCGTCCACAGTGGGCCAGAAGACCGGTGGAGGCGGCCGAAATTCCAGACGCGTTTTGGGCTCCAGAGTCGCTAAATGGGACTGGAACCGAACGTGTGACCCCACCAATGGATTGCTCTGCGAACGAGGAATCCGGTGGTGGGGTCACACGTTCGGTTGGAGCCCTGTTTAGCGACTCTAGAGATCAAAAGGCGTCTAGAATTTTTGCCCACCTTCATCGGTCTTCTGGCCCACTGTGCCCATCCCCAGGGCCATCCCGAGGGCCAACGTGGCGCGGCAACACGGCCAGCGCATTCAATCACGGCCTTCTTCTTGTTTTCGTTTTCGTTGCTTCGTTTTTTGCCGCTCTTTGGCCGCGCCAGTGTGCGAACCTCCGGAGCCGGCTTCCCGCGCACGCCGCGCGCCGCACCGGGCCTGCCTAATCGCGGGGCATTTAGCGAGGAGCATAACGAGCGGCGGTCATGCCTGCACTGGCCGTCTCTCTCGCACGCCCACTGCACGGCGAGCGGTGCGAGAGAGACAGCGCGACGACGGGCTGCATTGGCGACGACGGGCTGCATTGGCCGCCGCGGGCGTCATCGTCATCGTCATCCTCCTCGCGGGTCCGGCCGGCGAGTTATCAGATAAGATCCGCGGCGAAACAACGCGGGCCTGGCGGCCTAGCCTCTCGCGGGGACGCGCGTTGCAGTCGGCTTGACTGGCGGCGTATTTTTTTCTGCTTCCGCTTGCGCGCGGCCACGCCCCGCCAGCTGCATGAGCGGCTTCTCCTTGAACTCGACCGCCCCGCCGCAGCCTGCAGCCTGCCGCCGCTGCTCGAGAACGCCCAGTACGCCCAGTACGCCCTCGCTGCGTCCCGCTGCGTCTCGCCGGCCAGACGGAGGGCGACATCCGAGCCTCGTGGGCTATCCCTCGGGGAGGAGAGGGGAGGGGCACCGTAGGGGGAATATCCTCGTCTGGACCACTTCAAATCTCGAGACGTCCGTCACGCACTTTGTATCACTGCAGGGTCACCAACGCGGGCCGGCCGTCGGCGGCCTGGCACACGCGCACACACGCGCACACACACGTACACACGGCACGACGGCGGTTCGCGGACACACGCACACAAACGCGGGCACGGAACGCGCGGCTCAAACTCGCGGCTACCACGATCGCACCGAGACTGAGCGGCTGACTGGGCGTCACGGCATGGCGGGCCTGGCGGGGCCTGGCGGCTCGGGCCGGCCGCGACGTCAACACGGCCATGCTGCGCGAGGGAGGGGGGGGGCGCGGCGGGGCGCGGCGGGGCGCCAGAGGCGCGGTGCGGGTGGGTCGGCGGCGGGGCGATGGGGAGATCCCATGCGTGGCCCCGGCCCCCCCGGTCCGAGGTGGGTGACGCGCCGCTGGCCGCTGAGACTGAGACTGAGGAGGACAACCCGTCCGTCCCGTCCGGCTGCCCGCCCCGACCTCAGCCAATCAAAGGGGCGGCAGAGACACGCCCGCATCGAGTTGCAGGCCAACAAAGAGTGCCTGGTCATGTCGTCGCGCTGGGAGTATGAGAAACCCAGAGGAGCTGCAGACCGACTCCGGTACCGTTTCATCGCCCTGTGTCTGTCGCGTCGCTCTCTGGCCGCGTCCCGCGGGGGTGGCGAGAGAGACAGACAGCGCGACGCGAGACAGCTGCGGCCCCACCGTATCAGCCGCCCCGCTATCACGTCCTCGTCCTCGACTCGAATGGAGGCGACTCAGGAGGCGTTCCCACGACGCGGTGCTCGTGCCGCGGCAACCGGGGCCGGGCGGCCAGGATCCCACACAAGCAAATTCCGGTACCGTCGGTGCGCGCGCTGTGCGCTGCGGCCTGCGCACAGTGGGCCAGAAGACCGGTGGAGGCGGCCAAAACTCTACACGCGTTTCAGCTTCAGCGTCGCTAAATAGTACTCGAACCGAGCGTGTGACCCCACCAATGGATTCCTCGTTCGGAGAGCAATCCATTGGTGGGGTCACACGTTCGGTTCGAGTCCCATTTAGCGACTCTGGAGCTCAAAACGCGTCGAGGTTTTTGGCTCCACCGGTCTTCTGGCCCACTGTGCTGCGGGTGCCTCGTGCCTCGTACCTGTATGGCGAACGTCCGAGCTCCGAGCGCCAAGGTCAAACCGGCCGTGACCGCGGCAGACCCGAGTCGACCGGGCCGTGGCGAGCCGGTCCGGCCTCCCTTAACGCGCTGCGGTCCGCAGCATCCTGGCGGACTCGGACGCGGGCCGCGTGGGTGCAGCCAGATTGATAATGCCCTCGAGCGAGGAGCGCAGCGCACGGCGTTCGCCAAAAATAAAGCGGCGCGGCGACGACCCGGCCGGCCCGGCCATCCGCGGAGGGAACGCCCGGCAGCAAGCAGACTACTGATTCCGAGAGTCGTTTTCGTCGCTCTGCCTCCCTCGCACCCACAAGGGACGCCCCGTGAGTGCGGCAGAGACAGCGCGACGGAAACGACTCTCGGAATCCGTCTCCAGAGGGCCGCCATTTATTCCCATTTCCCGGCGCGAAAACGAGCGGCCATTAGGACGCCGTCCTGAGAATGGAAATTGCAAACAGCTTTCTTCTGATGGGCGCCGCGGAAAGTGAGAGGCGGTGCAGCAGGGACTGCGGGGCATTCCAGTCCCGCCAGTGCAGGTGCAAGGCGAGAGCGCGCTCGCCTCCAGTCCCTGCAGTCCGTCATCGCGAATGAGCGATTCACATCATTGTTGGTCGTAACGCCGCGATGACATGACGCGTCCCTCCAGTGCCTCTCAGCGAAAGTCTCGTTGCGAGTGTTCCACGAAGGACGCGATGCACAGCGGACGCAACTGCATCCATCCAGTGGAGCCAGTGCCTCGGAAACAGTCTTAATTTCCCACTTGTTGATTTTGAACAACGTTGCGGCGTTCCCGGACGCGCTTTGCCAATCACACACCGGAGGCAGGCCATGAAAGCCGACGGGCCGAACACCACACTTCATCTTCCTTCCCCATTAATCGGTCAAACTGACCAGGCCGCTTATCTGCGCCGCCATCCCGGGCGCTGACGGACGACGCGACGCCGGGACTCGCTTGTTTTGATCGCGAAATTTGTCATCCGCGGGGCGGCGAGTGGGCCGGCCGCGACGCGCGACAACTGCAGTGGGATTGCTGCTGCCGGTGCCCCGGCCGGCCGGCCACGCCGCGCGCCTAGAAGACGGCCAGAAAGCTCCATCGCGCAGCAGGACCCCCTCAACTGCACGCCGATGCAGGGCAGCCACGCCACCGCGCGCACGGCCGTGCTGCAGACTGATTCCGAGAGTCGTTTCCATCGCTCTGTCTCTCTCGCACCTGTGGGGACCCCCCACGAGTGTGTGAGACACAGAGCGACGAAAACGACTCTCGGAATCAGTCTGCTGGTCGTGCCAGAGCGTGATGAAAGACTCCGCATTGAGACACACGACGCGACGCGGGCGCCACGCCGTGCTAACGCCGTGCCGTGCTAACGCCGTGCCGGCCCACGCGGCAGTGCACTGCAGTGCTGCCAACTCGGTGCACGCCACTGCCAGCCACTGCGGGCAGGCCACGCGGTACCAACCTAACGGAGATAGATACGCGGGGGACGCGCCACCGGGCCGCGCCGCCGCGCCACGATGCGACGCCTGCGACGCCCACCGCCCCGGTCCCGGTCCCGGGTTCGATGCCCGCCGGGGTGGTGGTCGGGTCGTGGCGTGCGAAAAACAAGTCAATCGTGTTTTCAGGCAGAAAAGAAAAATATTTCGAAAGGGGTATTAGAAGGAGGAAAACATGGTCCTCCTGTGGACTACCAATACCGAGAACAATACCAATCCACCCAGGCCGAAAAGAAAAATATCACCAACTACCAATGGTCTACCAACCCCTCCAAGTTACGGATGTGAAGCCAACCCAAGATGAACCGAGCTGTGAGTGAGTTGAATTCATTTTAAGCTCCATTTTAGGCAGCCTTGACTTTTGTCTACGGCTCCAAAAGGGACTCTGTTTCTGTGCCGCTGCCCCTCCCTCCCTCGGCCTGCAGTGCTCCATTTGTCCGCAGTCCGGCGCTTGCTAATACGATACGGCAAATCCCGAGTCTGGCTTCGGATCAGGGAGGAGATGGATGGCGGGGCGTGGACCCTGTGTGTGTGTGTGTGGGGGGGGGGGGGGCGTGCGTGTGTCTCTGTGCGCGCGTAGTGTGTGCGTGCCTGTCCGGGTCAATACCCCGCGAACACAATGGGCAGAGAGAGAGAGCTTCCTCCGATTCGACTTACGCATCCCCGCCGCGGCCACGCCGTGGGAGACACCCTCACCTTCCTCAATAAGTCATTCAGTCATTCACGATTAACCGCCACCGCCTTTTCTTTCCTTCCTCCTCCGCAAAAGAGAGGGAATCCCGTGTAGAAGCTAATTGGTCCAATTAAATTATTTTTTTCTTCGAGTCTCTAACTCTAAATTCCGCCAGCGACCCGTCTCTGCGTTTGTCATGGAGAGGACGGCGGCGCGTGATCGGCACGCGCGTGCGGCACCGTTACGGCCGAGTCGCGTGACCGGCGGTAACGAGGCACGGCACGGCACGGCACGGCATGGCACGCGCCGGACACGTGACGGGCACGGCAATCCGGACGTCTATTTCGTTCCGCGAATCCCACTCCTCCACTCCCTCTCTTCTCCTCTCGTCGATCCGATCCGATTCCCAGTCGCACGTGGTCGCGTTGACTAAACACGGCGACGGCGACGTGGTCTACACCGTCGCAAACATTTCGGGCAACAATTTGTTTGGGGGTAGAAAAATTGTGAACACTACACGACTGCAGCGAAGGAACGACAGTGAAAGAAGCCACTGGCTGTTGGTGGAAGTCACGTCGCTTCATGATCTCTCCCAGCGCCGTGCGGTAGGCAACCCATCCGACGCTGCTTCGCGCGTGCTGCGGCGCGGCGCGGCGAGCGGGGCAGCGCCGCAGACGAGTGGCGCGCTCTGGGCGGCGAGCAGCGGCAACAGCGACTGCGGATACTCCGCGCCGTCTGAGGGGCCGAGCGGCCGCGCGCGGGGTATCTCCGTCCGAGTCTCCGAGAGACACTCACCTGTGGGGCTGTTGATGGAGGCCAGCTCGGGGTTCTGCGCGCTGCTGATGGACAGGTTGCTGACGCCGCCTCCGCCATCCTCGTCCTCCTCCACGAGCGTGGGCGGCGGCTGCAGCTCGTAGCCCCAGCGCTGGCGGAACGCCTTGACGCCGCCGTCCAGGCGCACGCGGGGCAGGTCCACGAACAGGGCGTCGCCGACCTGGCGGAAGGGCGCAGAGTTAGGGTTCAGAGCTCAAACACGTGGTCTAAACAAAGGAAGAAACAACCAAAAATGAATCTTGACGACATGCACACTAAAAGCGGCACGTGCCGTGGGGTCGCACACGTTAACCTCGCACTACGCCAGGTGCTGGCCGGGCCGCCACCTGTCCTCTGCAGCTGCCCCCCCCCCTTTCCTCCCCAACCAGTCCGCAGGTGCCGCCTCCCCCAATTGCCCCCAGCTGCCCCCGACGGCCGTCGTCCGTCGTCGCTGCGGTGAGCCGCGGAGCCGCGGAGCCCCGCCGGCCCCGCGTGCCAGCGTAATAGCTGCTGCGGCGACACTCGCGGCCTGCCTGCACACTGGTTCCGAGAGTCACTCTGTCTCTCTCGCACCTCTGCGGAACGCTCCAAGAGTGCGAGAGAGACAGAGCGACGAAAACGACCCTCGGAATGGGTCTACTGGCCTGCATGGCCCCTGGCCGCGCCCCGCCGCTACACGCTGACCCTGCTTGGCCTCATCACCGCATAGCGGCCTGCCTGCTGCGCCGCGCGCCGCCAGGCGAGTATTAACATGACCCGACGATCACCGGGACCATGCACTGCCGGCAGGCTGCCGCGGGGCGCGAGGCGCGTCACTGCCCCGCCACATGTCACTGTCGGCGGTTCGAAACCCCGCGGCGGCGAAAGCTTTTTTGCCGGCGCCGCTTCGGCTTCCGCTTTCCTTTTGTCTCTGACGGACGGCAGTCGGTACCGTCCGTCGGTATCGCACGCAGCGATCGGACAAAGACGGACAAAGACGATGCGCGAGCCTCGGACCGCCCCGCCGGCCGGCTGCGCACTGCGCCCCTGCGGTCACGTGATCCACTCCACTTTCCCGCGATCGCGGTGCAAAAGATTGTGCAAATGATTGTGCAAATGACGGCGCGGCTGACACGCACTGCAAGGAGAGCGAACGGCCGACCCGCGCGGCCGGCCGGCCTGACTGATTCGGAGCGTCGTTCTCGTCGCTCCGTCTCTCTCGCACCTACACGGGACGCCCCATGAGTGCGAGAGAGACGGAGCGACGACAGTGACTCTCGGAATCGGTCCGCAGCCGGACGGCCAGTCGCACGGTCAATTGAGATAGGAATAAGGGCGAGGCGAGCCGGCGGATTGGTTTCGCGCCCAGCCGATGTTATTGAAAAGAAAGATGAAAAGAAAGGAAAACTTTTACAAAGCGAACAAATTGCATTCCTACACACTTAGAAAATAACTAAAACGCAGCGACAGCAAAAACTCGGTAAACAAAATCAGCTACAAAAACTTGCTGTTCAAACAAACACTAAGACGGCCAACAAACTAGAAAGACAAAACCAGGTACACAAAATTAAGGTTCTGGCGGGATGCATCGAAACACGGGCACAGCACGAGAGTCCAACGCTCCACTCACCTTCTCCCTGCGTCCCACGGGAGTCCAGGGCAGGACCTAGCGCAGCGTGAAAAAGGACAGGGTTAGTAGAAGCGTTAAGTCGAAGGCAGCGAGTGGAACGAGTGTGTGAGAGAGAAAGAATGAGAAACAGAGTTTGTCTGATTCCGAGGGTCCTTGTCGTCGCTCTGTCTCTCTCGCACCTATTGGGGACGCCACATGAGTGCGAGAGAGACAGGGCGACGACAGCGACTCTCTGAATCAGTCCACAGACCGAGCGCCTGCGAATCGTCGGGTAGGCCAACCCGCAGCACAGGCCAGTGCCGCGGGCCCGCCTACCGCCACGGCGTGCATACCATTACCATTACGGGCTAGACCACAACTGAATCGTATGCCATTTCGGACCCGACGCCGTCTAGGCAGTCGGTTCATCCCCTCGTCAATTGAACCACCCCCTCTAGACTTTTGAAGTGTACTCACCGCGAGCTCCTCGCTGCGGTAGGCCGTGAGGGTCTGCTCGTCCTGGAGCAGCACGCAGAAGTGCGGCTCCCACGCGCCGACGCCGCCCTCGCGGACGGCTCTGGCGGGCCGCGGACCCGTCTGCAGCTGGCACTCTGCAACGACAAGAAGGACAAGGGCGTCAACAAGGCGGTTACGGGCAGCGGTGCTGCGTTTTTGTCGCTCTGTCCCTCTCGCTCTCATGGGGCGTCCCGTGTAGGAGCGAGAGAGACAGCGGGGTGCTCCACTTGCATGGCAGCCAATTGAGCGGCCACATTCTCGGACACCGAGAGGCACCGAGGCCGCGACCGAGGCGGTAGTGGAGCGCGTCCAGCTCATTCAGCCCTTTCACTGTCACGGCCGCACTCGCGGACTCGCCCCACATCCCCCTCCCCTCCCCCACCCCTCCCCCTCCCCCGCGGCAAGCAGGGCCACGCCCGGCCACGCCCATGCCTATGCGCCGCGCCGCCGCGCTGGGCCGCTGGGCCGCTGGGCGCGCGGTCGCCTCGCTAACCTAGAAGCCCACATATCGATGTCCCGGGCGGGTTCCAGTCCCCCGCCGCTCCGGCCGCTCCAGCCGGCCGGCCTGCCCACTGGAGCCTCTCCAGAGGGATGCAGGAAGACGGACCCGGCGGGCAGGCAACACGGTGGCACCGCGCGGGGCGCGCCCAGTGCCCAGCGCCCAGCCCATGGCGTGCCACCGGTGCACCGCCCCGGGCCGCCGATGCAAAACCGACAAAGGGAAAGAGAAAGTGAATAGAAAAATAAACGTCGTCCTTCTCACTCCACCCTGCCCAGGTCGGCTCGCGCCCGCTCGCCAATTTTATTTATTTTTTTCCTCTCCGGCAGAACACATTGCTGCAACTCTCTGCGGACTGCGGCTGGCGAATGGATTTGAAATGCCGGCGATCCACTGCAAGCGGAGTCGGGCTGACCTCACCCCGACACACCACACGTTGCGCACGACGCAGCGGGCTGATTCCGAGAGTCGTTTTCGTCGCGCTGTCTCTCTCGCACTCATGGGACGTCCCGGGTAGGTGCGAGAGAGACAGCGCGACGAAAACAGTTCTCCGTCTGCAGGGCACTTGGCGCGGCGCAACCCGAGAATGACGAGAAAACGCAGCGATCTGCAGACGTGCCTCGGCCGCCGAGGCAGCTGCTGGATGGATACTGCGTACCACAGAAACCGATGGAAACGACACGGGAAAACGGGAACCGTATGTTGTTATCATAGTAACGGGAGGCGCGTGGCCGCGGCGGCGAGGCCCAGCCGGCCCGGCCCAGCGCGCGGACGGCTGGAGGCCGGCAGGCATCAGCCAGCGAGGACGAGGTTAAATAACGTCCAGGACGCGACGCGACGCTCCACCGTTATGGCCTTTCGGCTTGCCTTTCGGCCGATGTCGCCGTCGCCGTCGGTCGCCTGTTCCGTTGTTCGGCGACCTGGCGGCATCCCGGCCCGCGCGTCTGGTTCCGGGGCTTCCGGTCGGGCGGCACGGTGACGCGTGGCGCCGGGCCAGGCCGGGCCTCTTCGTAACGCCCTAATGCCACAGTGGGGCACCGGACCGGCGCTATGGGGTGGTGTCCCAAAGGTGGCGGTCCTTAATTGTCCTCCCTCGTTCTTAATTCCCCAATCGTTGCCGTCCAAGTTTCCTTCGTCGTTCTCCTCAATATTCCGGGGGTCGTGACCTCCCTGACCCCACCTTTTGCCACTCCATGGAGTGGTGGCAGCACCGAAACGGAGGCTAAAAAAAACCTTATCGCTGACGTGAAGGCAGATGATCGGCAGGAACGTGAGTTCGGCCCCGCGAGAACGGGTGGCTCCATTTCCCACGCACCTGCACGCGTGTTCCTGGTAGTGCTCCTGGTGGCGGGCTTGGCGAGGATCGCGACGTACGCCGCATACTTTACGGTGGAGTGGCAGCGGCCGCGAGCGGCTCGAGGCCGGGGCGGGGTGGGTGGCATAATCCCGCCGTCAGAGAATATCGAATCGGACAGCAAAGCCGCGGATGCAAAGTTCATGCAAACAGCGTGCGGCAATATCTGTGCCCGTCTCAGTGTCTTAGTGTCTTAGTGTGTGTCTGCGTGTCTGTGTTTTTGTGTGTTTCTCTCTCTCTCTCTCTCTCTCTCTCTCTCTCTCTCTCTCTCTCTCTCTCTCTCTCTCTCTCTCTCTCTCTCTCTCTCTCTCTCTCTCCTCTGTGAGTGTGAGTGAGTGTCTCTCTCTGTGTGTGTGTGTGTGTCTGTGCGCGCGCGCGCGCGATGCCACATGGCGCACTGCGACGGCCACGTGACACGTCGCCACGCCCCAGGCCGGCGCGGCATTTCGTAATGAACCGTTTTGCGCGGCGCGTGCCCTGAGCCGTGCCGTGCCGAAGCAGTGCCCCGGAGTGGAGCCTAGCGTGCGGCACGCCCGTGACACCGACGTAACCTGCCGCCCCCGCCAAGCCCGCCCAGCCTGCCAGGAGCGACAGACAAAGTCACGCCAAACGCACACAGCGCGATAAGCGTGCCGCCAGCTCGCTGCGCCACACCGTCAAAGAGCGCCTACATCCGCGACAGGCTGTCGAACGCAGACCGCGCGCCGCCAGGGCCGCCGCCGTGGGCAGCACGTCGCCGATGAGGAGGATGAGAGGACGAAAAACAAAGCGACACGCACGCGACGGAGAAAGTGTCAAGGCAGTGTGGGGGCGGGCACTGCTTCCGGTGGGCCAGGTGCGCACGCCGCCGTGGCCAGGACCCAGGACCCAGGACCCAGGACCCAGGACCCAGGACCCAGGACCCAGGACCCAGGACCCAGGACCCAGGACCCAGGACCCAGGACCCAGGACCCAGGACCCAGGACCCAGGACCCAGGACCCAGGACCCAGGACCCAGGACCCAGGACCCAGGACCCAGGACCCAGGACCCAGGACCCAGGACCCAGGACCCAGGACCCAGGACCCAGGACCCAGGACCCAGGACCCAGGACCCAGGACCCAGGTGGGCGTGCCGCATCCCCCGGCTAGGCCGGCCGAACGATCCAGGAACGTCGCTTTGTCTCCCTCTTTCTGTCTCAACGGGCTCCCCGTAAAGGTGCGAGAGAGACGGAGCGACCGACCGCCCTTCTGAAACACACGGCGGTCCGCCACCTTGGCGCATGTCGCCACCATTAGTGCCTCCGCGGCCATCAGACTGATTCCGAGATTGGTTTTCGTCGCTCTGCCTCGCTCGCACCTGAACGTGGCGCCCCACAAGTGCGAGCGAGACAGAGCGACGAAAAGGACTGCGTCGGCTGTGAGTCTGTGACTGCGGCCGGCCTGTGCGGCCATGTAGGGGCAGCGGCCACCGCGCTGCTGTGCATCAGGGAGCCAACCAGGCGAGCACTTAGGGGGAGGGGAGGGGGTCATCAGGGCGGCAATCACCATGGCGCGGTGTACGGTCCGTACCGCCGTGCCGCCGTGTCGGCCTCCAACGAGAACGAGGCGCATCGCGATCGACGCCGAAGCCCCCGCGACGAACAGGCGCTTCCTGGACCCTGCAGACTGATTCCGAGCCACACGAGTGCGAGAGAGACAGAGCGATGAAAACGACTCTCGGAATGAGACTGCTGGACCCTGGACTCTGCGGCAAGCAGGTCGTCAGGTCGGGAGGGAAGGACACAAGCTAAAACCACTATAAGTCCAAAATACTAGAAGCCTTGTCGAGCAGCGCAAGGGGCATTGCGTTGGAATGGCATTCCGGCTGACGCGGGTTCTAATATCCGTCGGTCGTTCGAATTTTTTGCTACATTTTGATAGGCAGGTGTTTGAGTACCGTGGCTTGACACATTTTCTCTTCTCCTTTCCATTTTCTTTGTCGTTTGAATCTCCCCCCGGCGGCCCCGTCCCGCTAGGCGGCCTGGCGCGGCCTGGCGGGCAGGCGCCAAATCGTCGTCCGATTAAAAGGCAGCCGGTAGCGGTGTGTTAAATGTCCCGTGGCGAAACCGGATGAATGGAGCGGCAACCATTGGGCGGCAGCTCTCGACGCGCAGCCCGCACCGCGCAGCGAGTGCGAGAGAGACGGCGCGGCCGGCACCGGCCGCGGCCGCCAAAGACCGCGTTTAGTTTCGGCTCAGCGGCCGCGGCCATGCACTGACCACAGGCCGCGGGCAGGCGGCGGGCAGGCAAGCCGCAGGCAGGCCGCAGGCCCACACAAACAGAATGCACAGTTACGGGCCGAAACCGAAACAGGGCGAGGCCGGGCGCGCCGAGGGTCGCGGGCCGACACTGCGCAAAGCGGCAAGGCGCACCGCGGCACCGCGGGGACTTGGAGACTTGCACGCACGACGCACGCGGAGAGCGAAGCCAAGCCTAGACGAAGCCAAGCCTAGACGAAGCCAAGCCTAGACGAAGCCAAGCCTAGACGAAGCCAAGCCTAGACGAAGCCAAGCCTAGACGAAGCCAAGCCTAGACGAAGCCAAGCCTAGACGAAGCCAAGCCTAGACGAAGCCAAGCCTAGACGAAGCCAAGCCTAGACGAAGCCAAGCCTAGACGAAGCCAAGCCTAGACGAAGCCAAGCCTAGACGAAGCCGAGCCTAGACGAAGCCTGCCCGCGATGCCAACCCGGCGCGTCGATAACGCCGGACGTTGCAGCAGGAGAAGAAGTGCAGGACGGCGATGTAAATTAAAACGGGCGGCGCGCAGCCGATCGCCGCCCCGCCCCCGGGAAATGAAATGTGAGGATAATCTCCGCGGCCGGCCGCTGCTCCGCGAGAAAGTCCGAGGCGGTGCTATGGCGGTGCCCGGTGGCCGATCGGCATTCAATGCTTCCTCATCTCTGCCGCCAGCTCGGTGTGGCCGTCTGCGCGCATCCCCGCGGCAGCGCAGCCAGCCCTTCGCTTTCTTTCCGGGGACCACGTTCCCGCACGTCGCCGTCGTCGTGACCAGCGACACACTGCCGGACAGACGCGCTGGCAGGCAGGCATACGGTGCTCCACTGTGTCACACCGCGCCGGACAGACGCGCTGGCAGGCAGGCATACGGTGCTCCACTGTGTCACACCGCGCCGGACAGACGCGCTGGCAGGCAGGCATACGGCGCACCGATGTGTCATTCTTTGCGTGATGAATGAGGCAGCCGCGCCCCGACGCGGGAAATTTGGA